GTTCAGGAGAGGCCTTTCCCTCTCCCTCACCGATGAAAGTGGGGTTTTAACCGGTTTTGGGGTCCCGTTTGGACCTGGCTTATTGGGGTGCCCGTTCTCTTCAGCCTGCGGCCTGAGCTCGGCGTGCTGCTGCTACTGGGCTGACTTAAAGTAAGCTGTAGTTGCTTAAGTAACATCTCTTGGCTGTTGGGGAATAGAAATACAATCATTTGATAGCGCAATACAAAAAGTGAGATATCTATTCACTTTTGCAGCTATGGAGCAAAAATCCGTGCCCCACATGCCCTGGTGATGACTTTCCTGTTCAAGAGTGGAAGGTACAAACCCTAGTTCTATATTTCTGTTACTGCTTAGAATGCTTTCTTTCAAGCATTCAATCTTTCATGTTCCCAGAGGGCTTAAAAAGCAGAGAGATATGTGAGCCATGGTCATAGCCCGTTGTTCTGATAGCTGTGCGGGACAGCTGGTACGCACGCACATACACACATGTACACGCTTGTGGGGGTCAGCCACTTGTGCCGTGGTTAAGGAGAACCAGTGGGCAGAGGAGAAATTAGCAGATGCAAACAGCAGCCCACAGCTCTCCATTCAAATAAGGGAAGCCAAGCTCTAGCAGTGCATGCTGTGACTTTCCCTGCTTGCCCCAGAGGTTTGTGCTTAGGCAAAAAATAAAAAATAATGAAGAAAAAACCAAAAAGGCTCCTTGACCATTCATATAATTAGACAAAAGCGCAGTCCACAGTCTAAGCAGAGCTGTTGAATGTGTTCTGATGAGCGAGCCAGCAATGAGGGGATTTGTCTTCCTGCACAAAGTAGGTGTTCTGTGGGGTGCTTGGGCTATCTAGAGGGGCAGGCCAGAGGGGCGTAATGTCCAGGCTGAGTGACTGCAGTGGTATTGCCTTTTTGCTCTTCTAATTGTTTGTTTCTTTTCTTCAGTTTAAGAGAGAAATTGAAATCGATTGCTCAGGCTACGTACACTCATTCCCGGAACTTGGCATATTTTGTGTTCACCTACAAGGGGCTGATGGCGTTGCAGTCCCGACTACAGGGGAAAAAAATTCCATTTCATTCTTTCTTTGCAGCCTGCATTGGAGGTTGGCTAGTGTTCGGTGAGAACAACCCCATCAACAGCCAGGTAAATGTGTTGGTTGAAAGTTTCTCTGACAAAAATAAACAACAGGTGGATGACAGTGTGCCAGGAAGTGGTTGGTATAGCCTGGCATGTTCCCGGTAGTTCTTACTGTGTAGAGTTTTTCTTTGATCATATTTCTCTTTGCACAAGCTCTGGTTTTGGCTGCACTGCACACAAATCCTAGAGGTGGTTCTGTGCCCCTGTGAACGGCGTGTGCAGTTTGAGAGCTGCAGGTTTACCTCCAGAGCCACACTTGTGTACCTAGGAAGGCAGGCAGGCGGTCACGCCACCCAAAGCTGCTGGATTACCCCGCCTGTCAGCTGAGCTGCAGTAACTGACTGCCTGCGCTCCTCGTCTGCCCGCTTCCAGGCCTAAACCCGGCAGCTTGAATGCTGTGAGTGTAGAGCACAATCAGTTATGGAGCTACATTTAACTGAACTGGTTAAAAAAGCTGCTCAGGGGAAGTTTGGTTGTTAACACCCAGTCACAGATTAATCAGTCAGTAAAACACATGGATGCAGATTAATCAAAGGTCTTTTACTTATGCAGTCCCCTGCAGGGGCGTACCTTCAGTCTGGTTTTAGGATGAGTCCGGTCTACTGAGTTTGCATCTGCTCGGCAGGTTAGCAGGGCTGCTCCGTGACCATTCTAGCAGCAGCAGCATCTGAGGTAGCATTAACTGTGCAAAGTTATAAGTTGTGCAACTGCCAAGGTAATGTTGCATCAAGCGTAACTTGTTGATAACCGAATTAGAGCACCAGCAGAGAATCAAAGGATCCCAGGTTGGAAGGGACCTCAAGGATCATCTGGTCCAACCTTTCTAGGCAAGAGCACAACCTAGACAAGATGGCCCAGCACCCTGTCCAGCTGCGTCCTGAAAGTGTCCAACGTAGCAGAGTCAACCCCTCCCCTGGGGAAATTATTCCAATGGATGACTGTTCTCATGGGGAAAAATTTCCCTCTCCTGTCCAGTTGTAATCTCCCCAAGAGCAACTTGTGTCCGTGCCCCCTTGTCCTCTCCATGTGACTCCTTGTAAAAAGGGAGTCTCCATCTTCCTTGTAGCTCCCCCTTAGGTACTGGTACGTGGTGATGTAGGCTTTGAGGACATAGGAAAGACACAAACATCTCCAGTTATAAAGACTGCTTGATGTGTGAACCTACAGCCTGTTTGCTGTTAAGTTGGGTAAATTGTTTCCACCCCTCTTGCCTGGCTTATCACTTCTAAATCGCTTAACCTGGCTAGTATATCTGGTCAGGTTGTTGACCTAATCTTCTCTGGGTTTTTATTTCATGCAGATCATTATGTACCTGCTGTCTCGTATCCTGTTCGGCTTGTCTCGGCTGGCAGTGGAAAAGGGCTACGTCCCACAGCCAAAGCAGGATCCCTTTCCACTGGTCGCTGCTCTGATATGGGGAACGGTTCTCTGGCTCTTTGAATACCACCGGCAAACTCTGCAGCCTTCTCTGCAGTCCTCCATGACCTACCTGTATGATGATAGTAATGTATGGCATGACATTTCTGATTTTCTCATTTATAACAAAAGGACAGACAGCAAGTAGGTGGTTTACCGTAAAACACTTTTGAATGGGATGATGCCTTCCAGCAGCTAAGGGAAAAGGTTGTTCCTTTGTTCTTGACTGGTGGTTTGTTGTTTGTTTTTTTTTTTTTTTTTAAATTAACATCTGTCAAGCACAGTTGCTTCTTGTGTCCTGGCCAAAATGTTCTGATTAGTCTTCTCTTGGCTCTGTTTAGAGCAAGTAAATACCCCACAGAAATTTGTTGCAGTCCTCGGTGAGAGTAAAATGCCTTGGGAATCTTGAGTTAAAATAAGTCTCTTTAAAAAAAAGGCCTTATTTGCCCTACAAGTATGTGCTTTTATTTTTTAAAGAAACTAAATATACCTATAAAATGTCACCCTGACAGTAAGTGGGGAGTATGTCTAATTGTGGAAAAAATGTTCTAGGGATTGTCTGAATGCTCACAAGACAGAAGCATTTTTCTGTGCTACTTGTGCTTGCTGTAGCATGGTGGGAGTGGGGGACCTGCTCGGGTCTGAAAGCGGGGGCATAATTCCTTGATTTCTGTGGATGACTGGAAATCTTGTTTAAACTATTACAAGGACAGGTGTGCGCTCCTTAAAAGAGTTTCTCTGCAGTTTTCCCTCAGGGAGACAGTAAGGTGTTTGAGAATAAAACTGTTAAGATGTCTAGTACAAGCCTGTTAAAAGTGGGCTCAGAAGGACTGGTTTTGCTCGGTTTCTTTCATGCACTTGAGCTGCATCTGTCCCTCTGCAGAGTGCGCTGATTAATACCCTGTCATTATTTTCAACTTATTTGTAAAGTTTTTAAAAGCTGCTTGAACTAAATACCAAAAACAGTTACGCAACTTAGACTGCTTTGGAAACAGGCTGAGGCACATCGCACGCCCTCAGATATCACACTGGGTACTTTATACGTAGAAGCAGGCAACACTTTTAACAAGCACTTTTATTTTGGTGGAAGATAAGCACATGGGTTTCTCTTGGGTCCGGAATCTACCCTCCACAGCAGTGGCATGTGTTTTGGCTGTAATCAGACTTGACTATATGTGTAGGCTTGTTGCTGAGCCAGGTTGAGGCCACGGGGTGAATAGATGAGGGAATCTTCCTCTTAAAAATACACTGCTGAGCCCCAGGAATAGTGCCGCACACACTGGGCTTTGACAGAAGATTGACTAGGTAGCTGAGAAAGAACAAAAAACACTTTAATAAAATCAAACTGTTAATAGTACAAACTACTTACCCTGCCGTATAACACTATACCATTCACTTAATGATGTACTTTAAAATATTTCCTGACACACTGGTTTTATGTGGTGATATCGCAAGAGAGTCATTAAGCACCCTCTGCTAACCATTCCCTTTTGTCTCAGTCAGGACTCTTCTATTTGCACCTTTTAAACCTCTCGTTTAAAAAAAAGGTTAGTTTTCTGTGTACCCATCCACTTTTCCATCCTGACCTGACCTTGTTATTTCATAATCCCACCGATGCTGTTCTTCATAGTCTTTTGCCGTCTCTTTACTCTCTGGGCTCTAGCAGTTTGTCGTATTTAGTGGTCTGACCAAAACAGTACCTTGAAGTTCATGTTGCTTCTGAGCAGAAAACAATTCTTGATTTCTTCTTAAGTCATTTTTCCTTGTCCTCCTAAGCTCTTTTATTACTGTTATGCATCTTATGAGTGCTGCTTTGCTCTTTATTTTTTCCACTCTCTGTGTCAGCAAGCGGGAGAGTTAGATGTTCCCTGCCCCCCCTCCCCCCTCCCAGCTTGTCTGACACTGTGGAGTTTGGGGTTGAATCGCATCCTGAGTGTCTCAAGGTTAAGTAGGAATAGAGTCTTCTGGCTCTTGAGCTGAATGCAGTGCTGAATCTAACTACGTTCATGGTGAGATCTTGCAGTGTAGAGGCAGAAGCTTCTTTGTGCTCATCCTATGCAAATCTGTGACGTAGTCATCTTTGGTGCCCAGAAGCCAAGATGCTGCTTTGCCATAATAACTGCCCACAGTACTTTCAACTTTTAGCATCACCTGCTATTACGGTCTGCACCGGATACTTGAGTTTGAAGAGCAATTGGTATTTAATGGGACAGACCCCAGGAAAGCAACAGAAGCTAGGAATTGGTTTTATTTCTTTGTAGTTAGATATTTTGTTTGGTGTAGATGAGCTTAAAGATTCGAGTACAGAAAAAAATACCAAAGCTGCAGGTGAGGTCTGATTTCTTCATAAACATCGTGTCTTTATTTGCTCCAGTGCTGGATATCTGAAGCAGCACGAGTGCAGCACTCTATTTTTGTCAGAAACCTCAATATATTGTTCAAATAAGAATGTTAATTTTCTAATACTGCTGAATTCCTACAAGCTTTGATGGGATTTCAGAAACCCCTTCCAGAATCTGACAGCCATGGCTTGAGAATTTCTCCCTGGAACTATTAGACTTGCAAATCCTTGACCGTGTATAATTATTGTAGCAAAAGATGGTGCAGGCTGATTATGTGAACTGGGTGTCTGTAAGAAGTTTTTAACCTTTTTAATTTATAACTAGCATTCCTTTCTCTGAGAAAGGCTTGCGGCTTCCTTAAAGGCAAAATAATTTTCTTCTGCTAGTAGTTCTGCTGCTGCAACCGTATGGCTGCTTGTGAAGGGCTTCCCTGGCCATATGAAGGACAAGTGACCTGTCCTGTCCTTAAGCTACTGTAATGTCTCTGTCCTCTCTAGATGGCAAAAACGAGCCAATAGCAAGTTTCCAGTATCAGCCTGGCAGCAGTGTCCGCCAGCCGTCCGTGGTTCAGAACACCCTTTTTCTCTTGGGAATCTATCACCAACCTCACTTGCAAAGCAAATAGCGCCCGAGCCTCAAGCCATCTGCACTCCTGATCCAGGAACCAGCTGCCGTCCTGGAAGACAAACTGCAGCTCGTCCCAGGAGCGAGTCCCGTGGAGCAGCAGCCTTTAGCCGGGCGTTTGCGGACGGTTGGTTTTCCCGCTGCGCTGGGGCAGGACGTTAAGCTGCAAGTCATTTTAACCCCCCCCACCCCCCCCCCAGGGAAGTAATTGGAACAGTTATTTAACGGCATTAGTCCACATTGCTGTTTCTGTGACCAGATAGCTGGGGATGAACCCCTTATGCTATCGAGGTGTTGGAACAATGCAGGCGTGTAGTAAGGAAGTGAACTAGAAGTAATTTGTCTGAGTCAGACTTTTCGGATACATAAGTTACACTCCCTGCCCTCCCCCCGTGCATTGTGTGGGGAATTGAGTCCACTGTTTGTGTTCCTTTTTTATTAGCATTAAAACCAAGAGAAATAAAAGAGACAGTTGGGAAGCCACCTGCGAATCAGTCAAATGCTTAAGAATCACAAAGAAGTGCCATTCTCTCCCCCCAGCCCTGATTGGTTTTGAATTTTAAGACGAACATGGCTTTGTTTGTGTACATCAACTTTATTTTACCTTGTTATTTCTTCCTCAGCACCTGACTGTGAGATGCTGAGCACCTCTGAAGAAGAGGAGGGTGTCTCAATGCTTAGCTCAGTTTGTCAAAAATTAGGTTTTCTGGATAAAATTGAAGTGTACATTTTAAAATGATGCTTCTCCTTCAGATATTAAGCCTCTCTCAGAGGCAATTTTAAAGGTTAATGAATCAAACCGATCAAAAGTTTTCAGCAAGCCTTGAAGAGCAGACTGACTGCACTGAGCTATTAATCATTTATTTTATGAAGGAACAAAGCAAGCTCAGGGTTATTTACTGACGCTGCATGCTGCCCTGGCATACCCACTGTGCTTCACTTCTCTTTGGAGGACAGCTTGTATGCTAGTGCTGGCTGCCAGGATTGCTGAAGAACCATTTCCGGGACAATTGCATTATTTAACAAAGGTGAAAATTAAATGGGTGCATGACATTTGGTTTAGATGAGGTTTTCTGTACCATGCTTGATCCTTTCAGTTAAGGGCAGGATATTTCTGAAAGAAAAACTCGTGCTTGGCCACTTAGTGCCACAGAGAAGTGCTTATGGAGGTTGCGGCCGCTGTAAGGTGCAAACCCGTGTTGGCAGCGTGACAGCGTGCTTTGTCCCGGGCACCCTCCATGTATCGGGGCAATAACCACCCCTGCTCTGGTCAGCTGGGTCAGGAGGGAGAGGCTGGAGAAGAGCTTTGACACTGGTGCCTCAAGGCTTTCTTGTCCTGGTAGAGCAATTCAAGCTCTGTTTTAAACAGAGCTGCGTGGAGGGTAGAAGTGGAGGGCTGATCTCTGGCTGCGGAAGTAGACCAAACCCAGGTGTGTGTGGGAACTTTCTGTGCACGCAGAGGGTCCCTTGTGCATGTGAAGCTCTGCAGCCAGCAGGGAGCTGTTGTGGATGGCTGATGCTAGTGGAGTTGCATGGCAGAAAAGGAGCTGGGGTGTTGGTCAACAGCTGTCTGAATGTGAGCCAGCAGTGTGCCCGAGTGGCCAAGAGGGCCAATGGCATCCTGGCTTGTATCAGGATTGGTGTGGCCAGCAGGAGCAGGGCAGTGACCGTGCCCCTGTCCTGGGCACTGGGGAGGCCGCCCCTCGAATGCTGGGTTCAGAGTTGGGCCCCTCACTCCCAGAAGGACTGGAGGGGCTGGAGCGTGTCCAGAGAAGGGTAACAAAGCTGGGGAGGGGTCTGGAGCCCAAGGCTGATGAGGAGCGGCTGGGGGTGTTCAGCCTGGAGAAGAGGAGGCTGAGGGGAGCCCTTATCGC